TCTTCCTCTCCCGACGACGACTCATCGTCCGAGGCGCCACCGACCACCATAGGTCGGGCACCGGCGCCTGCGGTTGCCGCAGAACCACCGCTACCGCCGCCGGCGGCAGCGCCCGATTCAGAAGACGAGACCGGCGACCCGCGGCGAACGGGCTTGGCCTGAGGTGGCGTCGGGGGTGCCCACGCCGTGCGGACGTTGTCCACGAACGGCTTGCAGGCGGAGTGGGAGGCCCACTGCCTCCCTCCCAGCGCGTCGTGCATGTAGATATCTAGCAGGGCGATGGGCCACTCCGGCAACGCCTGGTGGGTGTTGTGTGAAAATGTTGGGGGGTAATGTAACCATACATCGCGGCGTCCACAATGTGGGAAGAGGCTCGAGGTGCGGTTGTGGATGCACGCCGAAGAAAGCATTGCAGCCTTCATCGATTGTGATGTTGTGCTTGTGTTGGCGCGTGTGCGTCTGGCTTTCCAACACTGAGTGCCTCAATGTATGCGAGATATTGGGTGTGCTGGACGCTATTGGAAGAAAAATCGTGTTTCAGTCTCCAAGAATGGAAACGGCAACAGCAGCACCTCACCAAAAGACGTTATGCAGGACAATGCCTCCCATACTGCAAAAAGGCGTTGACGTCCTGTTGTGATGCACACACACACACACACACACACACACACACACACACACACACACACACATATCACTCTCTATCACCTTCAGCGCAGCGGTCAGCATCGCGCACGCCGCCGCCTGCGCGACACACGGGGCCTCCCGCCCTCCCGACGACTGTATCGCGGTCTTGGCCCCTTTCCCCGTCAGAACCTCGCCCACGGACTCTAGCAGCTCGGGCTCGCGAAACACCTTGGGCCGTAGCTCGGCCATTCGCTGGAGGTCGCTGCAGAGGCTGCGGTCCGGGTTCTGGATGTTGGCGGGGGCGGCAACCACGATAAGGGTGAGTTGCGATGCTCTGGAATTATACACGACTGTACATGTAGCAGCAATCAGTCGCTGTATTTTAGATGTAGATTGTGACCACGGCAGGCGTCCGCGCCAGTTGGACTAGTACGGACATTAGAAGGTACTGAGCGGAGACCGGAACGGTGAACACAAGAACTGACACAACAAAAGCGTTGGACCTTTCGCAACTTTCTCGCCTTATTTCGAAGACAATCTACCACAGTCCAATTTGCAGTGCAGCAGCAGCAGCAGCAGCAGCAGCAGCGATATCGTTGCGCTTCACGCGCGTCCCATGCCGAAATCCTCGTATAAGTAGTCTTACCGAGAGGAGACACAAGAACGACTACGGCCGCACAAACCAATTTTCGACAAAAATGGCAGCGGTGGTGCTGCAATGGGCTGACATACAAATATGTCGACCTAACATACAAATATTGTCACCCACAACATCAAAACAGTATCAACGCTATTATTTACTACAGAGACGTCGTTTTCACGCAACCGCGTGGCGCTGTCGGTACGGCTGTAGCTCGTTCGAGGCATAGACTATGTACTGCCACACAGCAATTGGCAAAGGTACATACTGTACTGTACCACCGGCACAACATCGACGACACAGCCGTGCACGAGATGCTCACCTTGATGTTTTCCTTGACTTGCTGCAGCAAACCCTTAATTGTATCCACAGCTTTCGTGCGCAACACACCGCTATCTTCCGTCTCATTAAGTGCAGCTTGTAGGCCGGAGCCCATGGTGGCCGGGCACATGGACAGGATATCCTGCACTCGGTTCTCGCTGCCCCGCCCTCCCTGCTCATGACCTAGCACAGAAGCCATGATGTTGCGAGCACTAACATCAGATTTTTAGAGCAGCTCGGGGACGGAAAACCGTGTTAGCGTACCAGAACAGGTCAGAGGTGGCTTCACACGCACTCGTGATCACACACACGCGCTTGCAGCTGGACTGAACTGCTGTCTGCTGTGGAGCTGTGGATAGCAGATAGTGGATAACGCCGCTCCCACAGTTGTCCCAGGGGGGGTCGCAGCAACATGCCGTCCAAAAGGAGCAGGCAGGAGCAAAATTGCGCCGCAAGGAATTCACGGCGCCCCCCGACGACGCCCCTGCCTGCCTGCCTGCCTGCCAGTGTCGCAGACCACATCCGATCACACACAGCCCATCCAGCAGCTGTACAACGAATTTCAGCAGCAGGACACGCACAAATCTTCCACCATGGTGAGTACACGGGAGCGTGATTCGTGGTTGTGCATCATGGTATATTTCCTGCGACATACGCTCCCATCTCTCAATAAAAATCGCAGATTGTTTGCGTTGTTGACGTGTACTGCTGTAGACTCCGTACTACTGCCACACAGGTTTGTGTACTGGCAGCTGTCCCCACATTGAGCTGATCACACAGCAGGATGACGACCGCCCGGCCAGCCCCGTAGAGATACTCTAAGAGCCGGCTGGTTGACTCCTAAGGTTGTGCATCCCGTGTACACGCACCTAGGCCAGTACTCGTGTGTTTGCTTGCCTTACAAGTGCGACGTCGGCAGCAACGTCGCTGGGCCCGTTGTTGGTCCGCATCGCAACACACTTTGTAGCTACTTGTGTTCTTGGTCGTGTTAGTACATAGGTTATTGAATATGTACATAGGTTATTGAACAGTAGTTTTTCCGTGCTGGGCGCATCTTCGGCTTGCGCCCGTGGTTCTCGCTCACGAGTGTAGCCACCTTCAACCCTCAACCACCCTTGGCGATGGGCAGCATGCCGTAGAGATCCCGACCGCGCTGCTCTTCCGATCATCACGATTTGTAAGTATATCCACCTTTTTCGATGTGTATCTTCCCCCCCCCCTTTGTTTGTCTCTCTACCCCGGCGCAGAGCGAGACGACCGTGTTCAACGTGGGGATGACTTGCGACGGGTGCGCCAACGCAACGAAAAGGATCCTGGGCAAGATGGAAGGTGAAGTTGCGCCCCGTGTGACGCTCGGGAGATTGGCGGTGTGGAATAGGTTTGTACTTCCTGCTGCTCCTGCTATGCCTGGTACCCGGTATTGTAGTCCCGGACAAAAAGAAAGAAAAAAACGAGGTTCTGGAGTGGTGGCGCGTGTATTCATACAACATCCACGTCATTTCCGGCCTCGCATGTCGAAAGAAGTCGGCGTAGTATGCACAGCAGAGTTGGAGGTGGATGGCAACTCCGCAGAGAATCGGTTCGCAACGACGATTCATAAGACCGCCGTTTTTCGATCATGCACGCTAAACTGAGGACACAAGTACATCGCGAGGGTGAAATTACGCACCTGTCCCGTCTGACACGTGGTACAATATGCTACCCTTGGGAGCGCAAAAAACTCAGGTGTAGTACAGAAACCACACGTATTGCCGCCTATAGGACATTGAAAAAAGTACCAACAAAATTCCCTACCCCGGTTTCAGCGGGGTCAATTAGGTTTCATCCCCTCCGCAGCTTGGGTTTGGCGGACCCCAGTCCTTTCACCACCTCGTGCTCCTAACGCAGACCTCGGCGTGCCACCAAACAAAGTACACGGGCACCTCAAGCAGGCCATACCCTTCATCGGAAAGTTGTTAGTTACCCTTGAATTTTGCTTTCGACGCGAGAAATGCCTCAGGATCACATCTGAGTTGAACCAGCTTCTGCTGCTGGGCCCACCTTTTCAGCTCTTGTGAGGCAACTGTCACCTAAATAGGGTGGCCTGAACGCTACAGACCCCCAATTCGGCCGATACTTGGCCTTTAGAATAGAGATAAAATACCATGGAACGAATGCATGATGTGCACCGTTTGGGATCTCCACTGCAGCCACCGCAGTTGGCCTGCGAAAGTCGGCCCAAATTCAAGTCTAAACTCCAGCAGTCAGCAGACAGGCCTCCAGAACGATCGTGCGTCTACCTCCGGAAACATCATAGAAATTCAAGCCATGGAAGTACGCAACGGACCTAAACGGCGCTGGCCTGAAAACTAGGGACAACCAAACGTGACAAAAAATGGTGTGTGTGCGTCTGTACATGTGGGCAACGCATAGAGGATGTGCACGATTTGGGAGGGATCAGCACTACAGAAGAGTTGTAGCATACATCGTAAGAACTAAAAGTCCCTCGCGGAAAGACTGCTTCCGGATGTGATTCCAGGATTTGTGATGTCTGCATAACAATACGCTTTATGTTTATGGCCATTCATCCATCGCCACGACCCCCCTCGGCGGCAGGCGTATCGGCGGTGGAGGCGGACGTGCCTGCCAAGACGGTGACGGTGTCGAGCGATGGATCCACGACGAAGCAGGCCATGCTGGACGCCTTGCTCAAGTGGTCCGCGGCCAGCGGCAAGAGCGTCGAGCTCGCCAGCTAGAATAACCCTCTTCTTTGTCGTGGTTCTTTGTGTCGGAACCACTGGTTGGCTTTGCGCGTATGAAGAAAGCTCTGCCGTGGTTGGTCGACTGTATTTTGTAGGTCTCAGGCGTGGCGGCGCGAAGCCCAGGGTGGCGGGGCAGGGTTGTTTTTTTTGGGCTTTGTAAATTGGAGGGCATCATCTCTTGTCTCTGCTTGAGAATCACTTTCGTGTCGTTGTTTGCTGCTGCTGTAGGCGTGTGTTGACGTGGGTTCGCGCGCACGGTGATAGCGGGTGGGGTCCTGGAAGCCTTATTGTGTGTGTGAGCCGTGGAGAACACCGAACGATTTACCGAGACGGTCACATCTCGACTAAGTACCGAACACGCCAGTGTATCGATTCGGACGGAACTGCTTGGGTGTCGAATGTACAGTGTGTAGTGTTCAGCGCCGCATGACCGGAGGTTTGGTCTTCACGAAGAAAGCAGTGGTCGAAACTGCTGCTTACATTGTACGGGGTTGACGTGGGAGTCTGAGTACACCTGGCAAAAACAAGAGACTTATCTCTCCGTCGGGAGGCTGGCTTCTTTTTTGTCACCCCGCATGAAGACCCGCCCTGGTGCCCAGCTGACGTCCCATGACCGCTGTCGTAGCAGGCACAAGTCGCCCCGAAAAGAGGGTTTGGGGTAACGGCGGGTGGCGACAACAATACGACAATTTGCATCATCAGGGGGACCTGTGTTGCCTGTGCGTCGAGTCGACATCGCTTTCTTTCCCAGCATGCCGGTTGGCTTTGGCACCCCGCTCGTCACCTTTCATGCCGCCCTCTAAGCAAACATCAACCCACCTTTGGAATCTTCGTGTGTGCGCGGAGGAGTGCGCGAAGTTTGCGCGCTACGTATAAAGAAAATGCGCCGTAAGGCAGTGACTTTGGGTTCTACACAACGACCACTGCCTGGCGCGCGCGCCACCGGTCGGTTCCTGAATCCGCAAGAGGCTGTGTGCGAGACAGCAAAAGACAACAAACAATCAAGAAGCACCTGTCTGTGAAAGATTTTAGTTTCAGACACAGAGCAGTGTAGGGGAGTTTTTTCCGTGCTGGTGTTAGAGCTCATGGTATTGTACAGAGAGCGTATATATATATTTTTCTCTCTCTCTCTTCTTCCATGTAACATGCGCATGCGAGAGCGCTCACATCTACTTCCTTATATGTTCATGGGCGTGATCGATTTTCGGGAGTTCTCTCTTGAGACGACCCTTCCGTTTGTGAGCCCGTCGGCGAAAAGGAAAAAGGGCTTGAGTTGAGGCCGGGGCTACCCCCGGGCTGCTTTTCAGATACAAGTGTCTAGGGAAGTTTATTTTCCTTCCCGGTGTTAAGACAACGAAACACCAACATTCCATCACGTCTCAAGAACAACACCTTACTCGTGCTGCGGGCAGCAGCAGACTGCCGCGTGCACCCCAGGTAGCTTACGGACAAGCTGATTTTCCCGACAATATACAACACACAATAAAAACACATGACCAAAATCGTTCCCTTGGGGGTAATGGGCCTGACACCTCGACCAAAAAAGAGGTACGAGAGTCGATGCTCCCAAGCTATTGTACCAAGGGAATTACCACCACTGACTGCCTCTATGGTGAACCCCCCCCCCCCCACACCTCCTAAAAAAAATAAAAACCA